AGAAAGGACTTGTATCGCTGAAGTTTCTCGGAAAGAATTTATACCGGAAATGAACAAACAAGCAGATACGTAACAATATTTTGCAAACAAGACCCTGCTACATATTTTTCCCTACCCATCCATCTATAAAGAAAACAACATATTGGCACTGGATCCAGCCGTAACTAAGAGTACTTAAAATTGAATTACAACATTATTGGCACTTGATCCAGCCGTAACCAAGAGTACTTAAAATTGAATTACAACATTATTGGTGCTTGACCCAGCCGTAGTCAAGAGTACTTAAAATTGAATCACGACACATTGGCACTTGATCCAGCCGTAACCAAGAGTACTTAAAATTGAATTACGACATATTGGCACTTGACCCAGCCGTAGTCAAGAGTACTTACAGTTGAATTACGACAACAGCAGCAAAAATTACAGTAGAATTAGTGTGTACATATCAAATAGTAATAATTATTGTGTACATAGCAAGTAGTAATAATTAGTGTTTACATAGCAATTAGTAATAATTAGTGTTTACATAGCAAATAGTAATAACTAGTGTTTACATGGCAAATAGTAATAATTAGTGTTTACATAGCAAATAGTAATAATTAGTGTTTACATAGCAAATAGTAATAATTAAAACTATCAACTTTATTCTTACCAATGTGTAGTATTAAGTGTCTTAGCCAGGGACGTATTGGGGGTCGAAGTGGCCCGGTTATTTGGTCATTGGACCAACCCTAGCCTCGTGAGAAGTTCGAGACATTATTAAAATTAAGTAACAATTATAGGCAGCGCTTAGAACCCAGAACGTTATACTAAAGTTTCTAATAATTTTATTTAATTTGTGTTAATAACCCGGCTCTGAGTTAAAACTGTTGGATTGTTATGACCAGATCACTCCTGGTCCAAGCTGCCGAAAACATGCCAACTATTAAAAACATTCGTGTAATTTTCAAAGGTTATTACCTTATTTACAGTGTTTGAAATATATTTAAAATTCTAAAAATATTTGTCCATTATAAGATTATCCAAATTAATTGAAGAACACCAGTATTATACTGAAAAAAGACTACAAGCAGAACTGAAGACCCCCAAGACTGACGTAAAAGGATTGATATAAGTCATGACATAACCATCTGGCCATTAACAAAAATGCTTGCTTACTAGCGTAGATATGGCACTCTGTATAGCTCTGTACCAGTTAGCGGATGTTTGGACACTGTTATCCTGAAACAGCAGTGTCTGGCCCAGCAGTGTGGTCAGCTGTAATAAGAAACAGTAAGTTACAGTTGTTTTCTACATAATTATCAAATTTTATAATAAATCAAGAGTTGTTCTTGAAGAACAATTTAATGAACTACATACAAAACTTAATATGAACTTGTTATTTCACTGTACAGTGTACCAATAAACTGAGTTAGGCCTAATTCGAAAATCGTTACTTATTTCACTGTAGAGCGTACCAACAAACTGTGTTAGGCCTAATTCGAAAATCTTTACAAAGAAAAGCAGTCAGTTTTATGTTATTTGTCATTAATAATTAAAATAAAAAACAAACCTTTAACTAGTTCTAGACTTAATTTTAAAATGTTTTACATCAGACAGAAATATTTAGTTGCTTTGGTCAACGGAAACAAAGCCTAACAAATGCACGCCCTTTTTAACACTGTAAATTTCATGTCACAAAGCGACTATAACTTTGAATTTATAACTTCAGAGTCAGAAGTCGAATTACCGATCTCAAAATAAACATAGTTTTTCTTGATTGAATAACTAAGTAAAGAAGACGCTATGAAGTCGGATAGAACGTTTTGGTGTGACAAGCTTAATTCATATATATTTGTTAAAGCACCGATTTCAATCTGAGAATGATAATATTCTGACTAGCTTTCTGAAAAACAAACAAACAGAAAACAACAAGAAAAACTGGGGGTGTATTAAAACAAAACAAACTGGGGGTGTATTGAAACAAAACAAACTGGGGTGTATTAAAACAAACCAAACTGGGGTGTATTAAAACAAAACAAACTGAGGTGTATTAAAACAAAATAAACTGGGGGCGTATTAAAACAAAACAAACTGGGGGTGTATTGAAACAAAACAAACGGGATGTGTATTAAAACAAAACAAACTGGGGGTGTATTAAAACAAAACAAACTGGGGTGCATTAAAACAAAACAAACTAGGGTGCATTAAAACAAAACAAACTGGGGTGTATTAAAACAAAACAAACGGGGGAGTATATTAAAACAAAACAAACGGGGGAGTGTATTTAAAAGTTATGGTAAAATTATAAAACAACAACAATGACCGGAAGAAGTAATCGAACTTGGTGGTTAGTTTCAGTAAAGTCCCCACCCCCTTACCCCCGGTGACTCGGTGGTAAATTTGAAGATTTATAACGCTAAATACAGGTTTTGACACTCGCTGTAGGCATCGTGAAGCTTTGCACTTAACAACAAACAAATAAACTCGCTGTGGGCACAGTACATGTAGCCCATCGTGAAGCTTTGCACTTAACAACAAACAAACAATTCGCTGTGGGCACAGTATAAGTAATCCCTTGTGAAGCTTTGCGTTTAACAACAAACAGACAGTTTTCCTAAAGAGACAATTCCTACTAAATACAAGTCGTCTGATTTGACGGTGGGTCAACCAGCTACAAGTACGACATCAGTTATACGTTATAAGTGATTTACTTTTACGTTTAAATACAACTATAGTTTCAGTAGTTTTCTTTTCTAATTTTCAATACTCTGTAAGAACACATAGATTACCCGGAAAACATTTTTCTTGGATGATTTTTCAGGACACCAAGAGATGGAAGCACCTGCTAGGTTGATGAAACTGTCAGCTTTACTGCCCCACAAACCCTAGAGACATAGATAAAGTTTTGAAGTCATTTAATTAAGTATTAAAAACGAAATTAATTAGTTATTTAATTTCACAGAAAATTTTTAATTATACACTCTAGTGACCTAAAAATCACAACACAACGTGAAAAACATAGAAAGGGTCATATGGTAATTTAATAAATCATCTCATATGTAATATTTTTTAATTAATTAAAATCACCGATTCTTTAAATATTTTTAATTGTATTATTAAGGCACCAGGTGGCTCAGAGGAATAAAGTATGATGACTTACAACGGTAAAATGAAGTGTGGGCACAGTACAGGTAGCCCATCGCGTAACTTTGCAAGTATTTATTATTACAGAACTGTAGTTGAGTGATACAAACATTAATTTTTTCGGGTATTTCACTATAATAAAGTGTTTTTTAATACTAAGAAGCCCACTTTTTGTTGTTGTTTTTTCTTTGGGGGGGGGGGGTATTTCACTATAGTAAACTGTTTTTTTAATACTGAGAAGCCCACTTTTCTGGGTTTTTTTCATTATTTTAAAGTAGTTTTTAATAGTGAGAAGCCCACTTTTGTTTTTTGGGGGTATGGGGGTATTTCACTTCACTATAGTAAAGTAGTTTTTAATACTGAGAAGCCTACTTTTTGTTTTGGGGGGGTATTTCACTATTGTAAAGTAGTTTTTTTTTGTAATTACTACTGTTAACATCACCTCAGGTCACTAATAACCTATAATAGACTAAATACACAACTATAATTACGTAAAGTATGTAAACTTCTATAGGTTTCAGTTTCAGTTGACCAATATTTTCTAGGAGAAACATCGAATTTGATATTTGTAATGATCACGTTTATTTCTCTTCTGAACCTTAATTTTTTGGAAGGTGTGTGTGTG